GTGAAAAAAAGATGTTTTGACAGTATGCTGTACATGTGGGTCGAATGTTAAGCCAGAATCAAATATAACCCCAAGGTTTTTCAATTTTGATTGAAGCTCAAGTAAGACTGCAAGCAGTCCTCTATTTTGGAATGGGGTGCTGTTTTCCAGTCATTTTATAATCCTTTATAAATGCAGACTAATTCACATAACACTACAATGTCATCTTTAAAATTCATGTCTCTGCCATTTATATAGATTTAGCAGATATATATTTACAAAGTAAAGAAAATCTAATATATTTACAAAGTAAAGAAAAATCTGATGGTTGGTGTAATTTGATAATCAAATTGACTGGAAATCAGGAAAAAATGGAAAAAATACACCGTTCATATTCCGATTATGTTCATTCTGTGTCCAATGCCATGTTTTTTATAATTCACACTTACTTTGGAAACTCATATCCATTATTATTGTTGCCACTAAATACATAGACAATATAGTTTTCATTTAATGCATCCTGTCTTTGTTCTGTAATACAGATAATAGCTGAAGATGTTACTAGAATTTGCATTGGCAGAAAACATTGGGAGTTATAAAATGTATTGTTTTAGACTCCACTGTTATAAAACTACATTTTGTGCAGAAATTTAGGTTACATTTAACATAGCAAAGCATGGAATTATGACCCTGAGCAGGGTAACAGTAAACTACACGCTTGTTTATTAGAAGTTTATGTCTTTCGCATTAGGTAAGCAAACCTATGGACAGTCTATCATTTTCTTTGCACTGTAAGATGTTATGAATCTAAGCTGTGCTGTAGCACTCTGTATGCTGTTTTAACAAACATTGTTTATGACACTGACAAAACTCATGTGTTGAGATTTTACTATGACACCTAAAGACAGAATAGAGATTGTAGAGAGACTTACAAAACCTCCTATGGTTATTATATTGTTAACATTGGTTTAACTTTAGTAAATGAAGTTACTGTATAAAATATCAAAGTAATCATGGTCTGTAATGTTACAGGCTATAGTAGGTGACTATGGATGTGTCTCTAAAATTCTAAATACAGTGGGTAAGACCTAACTAGTGTCAACGCTTCTACTTTATAGAGCTTCAATCAAAGGGATGTTTATTTAGTTGTGCTGGGTGTAAGACACACTAATCCAAAGAATCTTCTGGTTTACTATAGTTATTTAATTTCTGGGTAGATGATTAAGAGTATCAAAAGTGTCAGATAAAAAGACAGAGAGACATAAGGGAAGGGGTCAGAACAGAACAAGAGAAAGGAGAAGAGAGGGCACAGGAGGACACAGAACATAAAGCGTGTGTTAGGCAAGAGGTCCTTGTCCAAGGAAATCTGATTTCCTGAGTAAAGAATCCCTAGGTTAAAAATATATATAGAGAGAGAGATTTACCTGCAGGTTGTATTCTATTTAGTTTAGAAGGAGGTTTTACATTATTCTAACCATGTAGGTGTTACAAGTGTTACAATTTTGAATACGTTTTCTGGGTGTTCATGAAATGCCTTGATTGAAAACTTGTAAATAGAACAACTTATATGTTGTATTATTAGTGTGTGGTAATTTTTAAATGAATATTTGTTTAACCCATTGTTTATTTTTCACTATTTTCCTCTCTCCTCTTCATTTATCTTACCTCTTTGGTACAATGATTAGTATGTGCAGCATTCCATTATTTATAAAATTAACATTCAAAACAAAAGGGAAATACAGATATGAAGAAAGATATGTTGCCATTCACATATTCTTCTATAATAATCAATATGTTTTCCAATTTAATCTGTGATATAGCCTCATTAATCTATTCTTTGTGAGAAGGTCCTGTACTATCCACCCATTTTTGCAAGATTTTTTTTGGCAGCACAGACTGTTTTTAAGGAAACACATTATCAGCTAAGGGCAATTTGGGTGGATAGATACTCAAGTATTGTGTTAACCATGCATTCGTTTAAAGTGCAAGGCAAAACAGGCTAGCCATTGAAGAGTAATTGACTCCAAATTTCAATTTGGATGTGAGGAGACAGTTAAATCAAACATGGTAGTCAGTAGTCGAAACTGCAGTCATGTTTCAGTGCACAAACTGCTTATCACATCTATCAGTGTACTTTGTGTTTTGGAGTCCAGTGGTACAAAGAGTACAGTCAATAAACTACTGAGCAGTACAGCAATGTGATATAGTCAGATGAATCATTCTTCAAATTTTCTTGACAAACAGACAAATGCACGTGTAGCACAAAACTAAGGAACACTGCAGCCTTGAGTGCTTGGTTCTAACAGTGAAGGGTTCTGGTGGTGCTGTAATACTGTGGGTAACATTTTGATGGCATGGTTTAGGGACACTCATTCTCTGAGGAGGCACGATCAATGTAATCTCTACTTAACGACACTATGTAATCATCTTCACCGTCTTGTCTCTTGTAGCATTTTGTTTCATGGGTGTTTTCCAAGATGTCAGTGCCCTCATCTTCACAGCATGTGTGGAAGCTCAATGGTTTGATGAGCATGACACAGATGTTATCCATATGCTATATCATGTCTTTCTAAGATCTAAACCCAATGAAGTATTTATTGGATATTCTGGAATGATGGTCTAAGACAGTGTTTTCAACCTCGATCAACCAGTTGATTCACTGTCTTCATATAGAATGGTGCCATATCCAACTTGCTGAAGTACATATGCACTTTTTGTACTGGGTTCATGTTTTTTATAATTCTCACTTTTTATCATTCACATTGGTGTTTCCCATTTTTGTCCATTACCTACAGGTATCTGCTCTTGAAAAATTTAGTTATGGGTTGTTCATAGTTTCTAATAGTTACCATGCATAAACTGTAGCCTAAAATGTGTGAAGCGTACATTTTGGACAATATATTTTCAAATGAAATTGAAAATACTGGTGTTTCCCAGAGCTGTGTTTTCTCACCTTTACCATTTTTTATCTATATGAATGAAAAGAAAATGAAGGGAACGTCTGTTAATTTGTTAAAGTATACAGATGATATGGTCCTAGTAGGAATGTTTACTGAGGAAGATAGAGAAGGGATGAACAATTATTTTGAATAGTTAAGTAAACTGGAAAGGTGGCATCAGTCAAGCATGCTTCATATTAATACTGATAAAACCAAAGAACTGGTTACTTGTCACAGTGATAAGTTAGATTTTCAAACTCCCTCCCTCTCCTGTGGAGATTGTGAAGTGTTTCAAATACCTAGGAACAGTAATAGATAAACTTTGCAGAGAGTACCAATGGCATTCTTAAGAGGACCAGTCAGTGTGTCTTTTTGATCCGGAAATTAACAGGGTTTGGAGTGAGTCAAAACATTTTAGAGAGGATTTATAGAATATTGATATGAAGTTGTGGTATGGTAGCCTGAGCTAAGGGGAAATTGTCCAAAATTGTTAAAACGGCTAGTAAAATAACTCAGAAGAAGCTTAAAGAGCTGTATTACATTGCAGTTCAAAGGAAAACTCAGCTTATCATTGACTCTCTCCATTGCCATTTTCAACTGATGCCTTCAGGGAGAGATTTTAGAATGCCTATGGTCAAGAAAAATGTATACAAGAAATCTTTTGCTCCCTGTACAAAGCAATCGGTATAGTGTAATGATAGTGTAATATGGGCAGAAAGAGAAGTGTGTGTATTGTTGCATGGTTTAGAGTTATTGTTTGTTTTTAACATGTTTTCATATTTTATGTTGAGTGTTATTTGTTTTCTGTAGTTCTGTTTGATGATATCAGATTTCCACCCTTTTGGGTGGATATAACAACAGTTATTATGTTATATATATTTTAAGTTATTATGGAAAAATATTTTTCAGTTTGACAGCTCAACAGTTTTGTCAGCCTACAACCTACTATCATAGCCATTTTATTTTTATAGGTCTAACACAAACTCATTCCTAAGCCATAGTTTGTTCATTGAAGTATTAAAAAGTGATAGTGATTTAGGCAATCTATCTCTACCTATCTCGACAATAGGCACAAGGCAGTAGACATCCTGATCAGAATGCCAGTCCACAGCAGGGCACACACAGATGATGAACATTTCAACTTTGCACAGACATGCACACACTCACACTAGGGCCACTTTTCCCATAAGGCAATTATTTCCCAGTATGTCTTTGGACTGTGGGAGGAAACCTGGGCACCCGGAGAAAACTCACACAAACAAGGGGAGAAATACAAACTTCGTGTAATATTCCAATGGAAAATGCAGACAGTTGTAGGACAGAAAGGTGTAATGTGATAAGAAATTTTGGTCTTACTGTAGAAATTGTATATGAAGGCAAATATAACTAAAAATGGGTAAACAGTAATGTTAATTTTAAATGCAATTTAATCTTGTATGTGAAGAGCAAACACTCTTTACATACATACAGCCTCAAATAATTAATTAAATGATGTTTTCCATAGATGTATGTCTCAGATATTTTAAATTTTATGGTTTTGTGGTTAAAATTACACTTTTACATGCTTAAATTTATTTTACTGTTATCATTTCAAATAGAATTTCTCTAAAGCAATAGACAGCGATGAAGACAAAAAGAGATAGCCGGGCTCTTCAGCAGGCCCTCCGTAGTGAAACCAACACATACTGCAGAGAGATAAGTCAAGGTGGCAGAAATCAAAATAAAGAGATTTTCTGAAACTGTATCACTGCCATGACAGTGATCTGCCTTTTACAGTTTTATATAACAGTATAACAGTAAAGCTTCTGAAACACACTTATTTGATTTTCAGCTTTAGTTAAAATGAAGGTCCAGGTTTGCCTTATTTTTCACAACAGCAGTTGAATTCCTATATTCTTATACATTTTATATTAATTTAGCCATATTACACAGTTTACTGTGTTTACAATAGGAGAGACAAAATGCATATCTAAGGTCATGGAGGGCTTTTGTATTGTACCGGTCTTTGAATTTGCCATTTGTGTTTACATCTATTTTGTTTTTCTCTAGGATTGTTGAGAAAGGATATTACAGTGAACGTGATGCTGCCGATGCTGTTAAGCAAATCTTGGAAGCAGTTGCAGTAAGTCTTTGCTCTTTGTGATTTTGTTCACAAACTACATCTTTGGTTTTTACTGTCTGAATTATAAAAAGGATGTTAGTAATATTTTTCTGAATAATTTGTACTGTACCTAAGGCACTATGGTCAATCATTTTCAGTGACAACAAAAATGACCTAACAATTGTAATAATTTCAGCTGTGATGGAAGTACATAATATTACCCTACAGTTCTTTTAGTACTGTATAACTGCAGACTAAAACTCTGCAGGTGTAATTTGCATGTGTAATAAGAAGGGTACAGAGCAGACAGAACCCCATTGACCGAGAGCACCATTCACCACAGGTTTAAATTTTGAAACCAGACAAAGTTCTTCAGAAAGAAAAAGTTTTGTCATGTTATTTTTCTTTTTTTTTCTTTTGGCTTTTAATTTTTTTTATACAGTAGATATTTTTCAGTAAAATCGGGAGTACCCACAGTGATCAATCTTCAAACTTCTTTTGATTTCCTAGAATTGATCTTCAAATGAGTTAAATTGATCCTGTATGTTCAGCAATAGTAATTCTGCCAGTATGTTTAATACAATGACACAAGTAATGTGGTTGTGCAGAAATTAGAAAAAAGATATGTTTTTAGCGATGCCTTGAAATGCTGAGGAGAATGACCTTGATATCTAAAACTCAATCCTGTTCTCAAGTAGCAACCACAGTGACAAGCTAGAAGAGGTTAGTGCCATGACATTATAGTCTGGCTGACACTTACTTGTTCTCATAAGGACCCATTTGCCATGACCTTGGGAAGGTTGAAAAGTTAAGCTGCATTGTTACATTGCTTTTCTCAGAACTTCTAAGGGTTTTTCACACTGGCTTCTATAAATGGCACACTGTACGTTTTTTGCATTTATGTGCACAAAAGCTTGTACTTAGTATTTCAATATTTGTACTAAACATGCATTGCAGTCAGTTTAAAGTATCAGATGCATCAGATAAAGTAGCCAAAGTGATTTTGAACAATATAGTTTGTATCACTGGCTAATCACATTTCAAGAAATGGTAGCCATAATATGAAATAATAAATGCTGAACAAAAATGGTATTTGCAAAAAACAGAAAACATACAACAATATGGATTCAAACAGACAATATATGCTTAAGGTTATGAATGGTTATACAAAGCAAATAGCCAAAATATTGACTATGTTTATGTGTTTATAAAGTGTTTGAAGAATAAATGTTTTGCTTTATTTTTATTTTCCATTTTGAATTAGCTGGATGATTTCTGGATTGAATAAGAGCTTGCTCAATAATGTAGGTTCAAGAGCTAACCAGTCATCCCAGAGAGAAAACATCTTTGAAAATCAGGTGAAGAAAAGAAGTTTTGAAGTCTTGGTAATTCTTATTTTGTTAGTGTTTTACTAAGCTGGTGTTTTTAAATCTACTTGTACTCATGGTAATGAGTTTTTTAAAATTAACTGTTATTTAAATATTATCATCTATCACTATATTCTAGTTTGTGATGAGGTCACATAAAAGATAGAATCTTCCTTAGTTTTTGTTTTATTTTGTTTGGGAGTGTTTCCAGAATGGTGTGGTTTTCTTTTGATCAAGAGATGATGCTCTCTTACATTAAGGCATTGTTAAAGTGATGTACTAAATGTGCTTAAGTTAACAACTGTAATAGGACTGGAATAGTCGATATGCTTATATTTTATAGATAAACCAAAATTAGCACAATTTAAGGAACCCGTTGTCTTTCTCACATTTGTAAACATCTGTTCATTACATATACAAACTGTGTTGATATATAATATTTAAGTGATTTTCTACCAGTATATCTATAACCTCTCTATACTTGTAATACATAGATTCTATTTTGTTGGGGGAGGGGCTTGTATTTTTCCAGGTGGTGTGGTTTCTTGCATGTGAGAAGTATTAACTAGTGTCATAATTGATGTGAGGTGATATTAAAGTTAACTACAGGAAATAATTAAAAACCCATTGAAACAGGGTTTGTAGTTCTATATTGATGAACTCGCTGGATATAGTAAAATTAATTACCTCACCCCATAAAGAGACCATGTGCAAATCGTGTAACTTTTATATTTCTTTTTTGGTCTCGCCCTTTGCTGATTTTGGCTGATTTTCATTTTTATACAGTAGACTTTCTAATTGAAATGTAGTGAACCAAAGGTATAAATTTCTTTTGATTTCTTAGAATTTATTTTAAAGTGTGTTCAACTGGTTCTGTACTGTACATTCAGCAAAAATCAGTCTAAATACTAGTAATTTATGTTGTTTAACCCTGAATACAATTTCTTGCTATCACAATGTACTCTGCACCTGTGTTCATTTTAATTATAAACTGGTTTTTCATTGACCCTACTTTTTAAAACATTTTTATATTTCTCAGAGAAACATGGTACTAAAAATCAAATAACCAGTTTTGTCAGTTTTCACTTGCCCTAGTTAGACTTCTCACTGTTTTCTTTAAAAATAAGTGCAAATGTAATCTTTGATTAACTACAGTAAAATTAGGGAACCTAACCTAACAGTAATGGCAGTGTTTCTTTAGTCTTTCATTCATAGCCTGAGAAAGTTTTACAACCCCTGTATCTTTTATTGAATAAAATACAAAACAAGTGGACAATAGTAAACACTGCATTACATTTTAAGAAATTGTTTAACCCAAAACCAAAATAAATAGAAAAGGGCACAGAATGCAATGTTTAACAACGTGTCCACAGAGATATGATGAGGTTGAGTTGTTTCCATTACCATCCCCCAGCTGTATACCTTAACAGCAGCTGAACATAGATAATTGTACCATGTGGATTTGCAGGCTAACACATTTGTAAAGAGTCTCTTTGATTCAGGCTTTTTTAAATACTCAAATCAACAGTACATTATTTTACCATCTGTGATTTGACAGCAAAAATGTAATCATTTATTTTAAGTTAAGTGAAGCGAATATTTCAACTGCTAAAAAGAAACACGAACCAGCTTTTGGTTTCAGGACAATATTTTAAACTAGGCTTAGGCTTTCTAAATATTTAAACTGTCCTGCAGGATATTCGGTAACAATGCATTATTTCAAAAATATGTTTTTCATAAACATTACACTTAATTTAAATTTCTGAAATAGTCATTATCATAACGATAATGTACAGGTTCATTAATGTAGGTTAACAGGCATTGAACAAACCATTACTTAGAATAGTTTATGAAAACTATATTATGCACAAGCAATATTAAAGAAATCTTTTCTGTGACTGTTAATAATGTATTAGTTGAGATTTGCATTAACATTAAAATATTAATTATTATGCACTGACATTATTCAGGAGGATGAAATTCAGAAAATAGATGGATAACCATAATAAGATTTCTTAGTTGAGCAAAAGTAAGGCTTATTCAAAACCTGTTCTTTCTGTTTCTGTTCTTAGGTTTAATGCTTTTAACTGCCTTTTTGTTCAGTAACCCTTGTTATTCTTTGCTTGATAAAGATGACAAAACATAACATCTGAGCTCTACCTGCTTGCTATACATTGTAAGGTCTTGTGTTTTCTATGAAGTCATCATAATGGAGCCCATTAGAAGATATACTGTACACTTTATGAATGAATAAACACATGACAAGTCCTAACTAAGACCTGTGAATTAGATTTAGATTGCATAGATTGTATGTTCACTGCAGTCTAATCCTGAGTGAACATGAAGGGTTAAAAGACGAAATCAAAGAAACATCAGCTTTGGCCAGAGAAGAGCAAGAAGCATAGATCTTGAATCTGAATGTGTAGTCATGATTGTTTTTCATTTTTATTTATAAATTTTGTCCACTTTCAGATTTACATCATGATTCATGCAATCTCACAATCACTAATTCCATCTTTATCTCAAACTTGCACCTGTGTGAAAGGAGCTAAAGGCAAATCATCATCCTCTAGTTTCATCTACCAGCCGTATCCTCTTTCTTCCAGCATAACCTAATCAGCATTAGGTCTGAAGGACTGTGCTCAACTCATGATCACCTGCTTAGTGTGACAGACATGCTTGGAGGCCCATTTGCCTAATATATTATCATGTTACCTGTCAAATGCTTTGTTAAAACAAGAGCAACCCAATCAGAATTATCTACAAGCTTGTATATAGACTTTAAAGAGGATAAAGCCTCCCTACCCCCATCTTTCATTTTTTTAAATTATCTAATAACCTCTAATGGCCTGATAAAGCAATACACTTGAATGAGTAGCAGGTGCTGCAGAAAATACAAAACAATAATTACCAGCATGAGAAGAAGTACAAATCAATCAACTAAAAGAGTGTCTTTTAATGGATAATTCATATGGCTTTGCTACTTTGTTCACTGGCAAACCTGACATTTGATAAGATTAACAGGTTATTTTACCAGAATATGTAGGCTGTAATGAAAAATATGGAAATTGTATGCCTTTGTCTAGAGTGCCTCAAGGTTAGTAGGTCAAAGGAAAGTATAACCCTTTCAACATTGTTCTATTTTGGAGGATGGGTGCCTTGAGACATTCAATATCAGATAAACCAAGGGATGGTGGTGGGAGTAAAAATAAATAATGAATTCAATGTTGTTTCATATAATGCTTTCTCCAATACATTGTTTTATTTACATGTACAGTATGCTTACAAATATCATAATATGACTGAATGGCCTTGTCCCATTTTTATATTTCTTATATTCTTTTGTATGTTCTCATTTGAAAGCAGAGTAGAAATTGTTCTGCTATAAAATTTAAATGGATTCCTTTATTTTTTAAAAAAGAAAATACTTTGCCTGGCAAAACAATTAATACTCTTCCTGTTATGTCACATTCTGTAAAAATACAAAATGATGCCTTCACATTTAATCATCGTTGCATCACAGCGTCACAGGGTCACAGGGGAGCCTATCCAAGCAAGCAACAGGCACAAAGCAGGGTACACCTCAGAGCAGACAGAAACAAACACAGACACGCACACACTCACACCAGGGCCAATTTTACAAAAGCCAATTAA